GGGTCTGTGGGAGGGGGGTGGGTCCCAGTGGGGGCTGTTCACCGGCGCCAGCCTTGCCCACAGCCCCGCAGGGGGTGGCTTTTCTCCGTCAGGGTCGGGGGTGCTGTCCCGCTCAGAGCTGTAAGCCGGGCTGCGGGAGCAGGAGCAAGTCTCTGTCCGCCAGCCCACGCTCTGCCCTGTCCCTCCGGCACTGATCGCAAGGGAGCTTGGGGATCTCCTGCGCCAAGACACGGGGAGACGGGAACTCGGGGAAGGGCACGTGGAGCTTCCTGCTGAGGCAGGAGGGAGCTAAAAGCCTCCAGGGAGTCTGGGTGGGAGCGGAGCCCTGTGCCCGGTCCCGCTTGGGGCGATCTCAGGTGGCGTCCATCTGCCCTGCTTGTGTCCCCAGCCAGACCTGGTGGAGCGCCTCATCTCCGTAGACGTTAGTCCCGTCTCAACCGCACCCGTCTCCGAATTCTCTGCCTACGTCTCTGCCATGAAGTCGGTGAAGATCCCGGATGGTCTGTCCCGCTCTGCGGCCCGCCAGCTGGCTGACGACCAGCTGCGTCCGGTGGCCCAGGTAGGAAATCCCACTCCTTGGACGGAGCTTCTGCTCCCAGCCTGTGCCTGGGACCGGAGCGCAGGGCTTCAGGGCCATGAGACTCTTTCCACCCCTGCTCACTCGCCGCTGTCCTGGGCAGCTGGAGGACATCTCACCAGGGCTGCAGAGGTGATGGCGAGTGTGACAGCGTGGGAGACGGGCAGAAGGGGGTGGAGGGGAGGACAGAGGGTGCCGGGACATCATGAGGGCTTGTTGCTCTTACTGAAGAGTGTACAATCTCCTTTCGTGGCAGCTCCCGCAGCTGAGACAGTTCCTCCTCACCAACCTGGTAGAGATGGAGGGCCGCTACGTCTGGCGGGTGAACCTGGAGGCTATTTCCAACCACTTGGCAGATATCATGAACTTCCCCGTCTTCCACAAGCCGTATCCTGGCCCTGCGCTCTTCTTGGGAGGATCCAACTCGCCCTATATCAGGTGGGACTGGAGAGAAGCGGTTCGAAGTCTGCGGTTTGACCCCTTGTGCTCTTCTGCAGCTGCCGAGGGTGGGAAGAAGCCCCCGAGATGGGGAAGGTCCTGGAGCGAGCTCTGTGCCTCCAGCAGCCGGTGACACCAACGCGCTGGAGAGCGAGGGGGAACCTGAGGGCAGGGCCGGGCTTTCCCAGCAGGGATGGGGACGTGGTCAGACCTGGGATCCCCCTCTGCCTGGGGAGGCTGAGGGAAGACACCTGGGTAGACCTCTGACCACGCTTCCCATGGCGTGTGTGTTCCCTTGTCCTGCAGCTCCAAAGACTACCCGGAGATCCAGCGCCTCTTCCCCAAGGCGGATGTCCAGTACATTGAAGGTGCAGGCCACATAGTCCATCAGGATAAATTTGAAGAATTCATCGCTGCTGTCCTCAATTTCCTGCCACCACCGTAGCGTTGGGGACCAGGGTTTCTGCAAGCACCGCGTGGGACTTGAGGAGCTCCGGGCAGTGACGCAGGGCTCTGGGCTCTGTGAGGAGGGGCTCAGCCTGGACCGGCTGCCCACTTTGCAGTCCGATCCTGCCTGCGAGGCCTTCTCCCACCCCGGGTCGCCTGGAGCCGGAGCGGAGAGGCACCTCCATCCCGCTGAGCCCTCCTGCCACCTCGCAGGGACGCGGGGTGGCGCCGGCCCAGGACACTGCCCTTCCTGCACAGCCTGTCCCACCTGCGCTGGAGTGTCTCGGACGCTAGGAGGGGGCAGGAGAGCCCCCTCGTTTTCCTGCTGCCAGACCACCTGGTTGTGGATCTGGCTGCGACTTCGCAGAACGTGCAATAAAGCTGAATCCATGCCCATCCCGCTGAGCCCTCCTGCCACCTCGCAGGGACGCGGGGTGGCGCCGGCCCAGGACACTGCCCTTCCTGCACAGCCTGTCCCACCTGCGCTGGAGTGTCTCGGACGCTAGGAGGGGGCAGGAGAGCCCCCTCGTTTTCCTGCTGCCAGACCACCTGGTTGTGGATCTGGCTGCGACTTCGCAGAACGTGCAATAAAGCTGAATCCATGCCAAGGCAGAAAATGGTTTGGATGTGGCTGTGGAGGACAGGGAGGGCGGTGGTGGGCACGGGAAGGGGCTCTTGCTTACCAGCGGGGATGCTGGTGGGGGGTGACAACTGGGCTGGGCCCGTGACGTGCCGCGCTGTGGGAGCAGTGCGCGTAAGACACAGGTTTGAGGATCTTTCTTGGCTCCCGGGGGAATCGCGTCCTACCTCCACCTCAGGGGCAGCGGGAGGATCGGGGAGTGGGGGAAGCTGCCTCCTGAGCAAGGAGATGCTGCGAGCCTGCAAGGGGGAGGCATGGAAATCCCCCTGGAGCACGTCTGCCCAGCCTGCCCCGAAGGCGGGCGGCCCCTCCTCCCTGAGCTCCCTCTCATTTCTCACCTCCCGCTCACTCGGCGTCTCCCGAGAAGGCAACGTAACGGTAGCTACTGCCGGCCGAAACGACCATCCACCCACCGCGGGCTGAAGGCAGAGGAGCGGCGCCGTTTGCTGTGAAAATCCCTTTATTAGATGACGGGTAAAGCCAGAGACGGGGCGGAAGCGGCTCTGGGGGTGACGGATCATCTCTGTCGCAACTGGGGACAGGCTGCCTGGGGACAGTTAAGAGAGACATTAACCAGCTTTGCATTTGGTGCTCCAGAGCCAGGTGTCTCTGCTGTTCCCTGGGAGGAATTTGCTCAGTTTGGGGTTGTTTGGAGGCCACAAAAGGGAGGGAGGACCCAAGACCAAGGACTATTTTATTCCAGGTCTGTTTGTAATTGCCTAGCAGAGGGGGAGATAGATTGACTGTGTTTCTGCAGAGCTGTTCTTGGCTTTTCCTCTTGTCCTTTCCTTTTCTGAAGAAGTGCATCTCTGGAGCGGGGCTGCGTTCGGCTTCAGCTTGAGCTTTCTGCTGCGTTACTCCCAAATTCAAACACTTTTGCTGTGTATTATTTTTTCACCTGTGAAGAACGTTAGACCGAGAAGTTCCTGAGACACAGGCTACTGAAATGAGTTCCTTGAGCGCCTGTCTCTCCTACGGCCAGCTGGGAGATGGGGATGGAGTCAGGCCACTGCCCAGCCCTGGCTACCAGCGCACAAGTCCTTTGGATATCCCGTCCGAGCCGCGAGGTCTGGAGCCCAGGAGCAGTGGGGAATTTCTCCCCGCTCCTCCTCGCTGGCCGGGTACCGGGTTTGGGACAGGGACAAAAGGCTGCTGCAGAGGTGCCAGGTGAAGAGACTCACCGTGGGCAGGAGATCAGTGGCCTGGGAAGAGGTAGAACTTCCTGAGCATCGTAGTCCGTTCTTGTGATGGCAACTGCCGAGGGAATTTTCCAAAGGAATATTGGACCTGGGGTGAGAGAGACAGCGGGGAGAAATGAGAGCAGCTCCGTTCCCAGCATGGGAAGGGTGCAGGGAGTCAGGAGGCATCCCCAGGGGCATCCCCAGGCATGTGTCTGGTGGCACAAGGGATGCCACGAGCTGCGCCAACACGCCGGGCTCTTGTGTGCCCACCACATGGCAGGGTGCTGATGCCCCCAGCGATCCAGCTGACTTCCCAGGCCAAACCAGACGCCTTTTTGACAGAGCCTGCTCCCGAGGGGCCTGCCAAGAAATGGCCTGCCCTTGCCCGAGCTCTGCTCCGAGCAGTATTGCTGACCATTGGCATGGCCGCATCTGCCGGCACACCTGCAGTTAACTACAAAGCCTCACCTTTCGGAAGATCTCCTGTAAGTCGCTGTTACAGGCGTGGTTTCGAAACTGCTCTATCAGGTGCTGGATGAAAAGGGAGCCTGTTACTGAGCTTCTCCAGGAGACAGTATCTGGGGAGACAGAAGATGCCAACGTGTGATTTCACTGGTGTCCCTCACTGCAACAGTGATTAATGCTGGGTGCCGGAGCAGGAGACTGGGGCACCTTCTCTGAGATCAATTATATTTGGCCCATCCAACCCACAGCACGGGAAAAGGACAGGGCATCCCAGGGAAGACAGAAGTGACGTGAATATTTTCTTCAAGCCTCTCTGCTCTCCCATGCTCCCAGCCGTGCCGGCTGCCAGGCTGGCACAGCCTGGAGCCGTCTGTGACCCAGCAGGAGAAGACAATTTCCCCTGGCCAGCCACTGCGGTGAGATAAATCAGCTGGGGAAGGAGTGCAGGCAGAGCCGGTGGGGAGGGCTGGAGCTGGGGCAAGGGAAGGCAGCTGGGCAGGGACACAAAGCTCTGGCCCTGGTGCCACTAAGAGGGACCTGTGTGTGTCCTGGAGCAGCCTTGTACCCTGGCATCGGGGGACACTGCCTTCTCCAGAGGCTGTTGGAGCAATGCCCAAGTGGTCACCAGATGGAGGGGACCCCCAGCAACCCGCCCCGAGGAGGAGGAGGAGGTGTGGAGGAGAGCCATGGCAGCAGGAATGGGTGTCCTGTCGGCCTCGCCTGCCCTCAGGCAGGGCAACTGTCTCCAGGAACTGCTTACCAGGCGTGGAGGAATGTAAAGTGCCAAAATCACTCTCCAGGTGGACTTCACAGATTGCATCATCTTCCAGCCCTTCAGGGATCGCGTGAGCTGAGCCGGGAGTGGGCATGGCAGGGTCTGCGGAGTCGCTCACCATCACCGACCCTACCTTGCCTAGGAAGGCAGGGCCAGCCATCAGCAATGATGGGGTGTCCCGTCCCCACCTCATGCTCAGGGCTCACATGCCCTGGGAGAGCCTGGCCGGCTTGCTCGCCTCGTAGGCACCTCGTAGCGGGGACTCACCTCCACGGCAGGACTGGATAATGACCACTTTGGGTTTGCCCAGCAGCGCCCGGCAGCACTTGTTGTTGAATTTCTCATAGATGGTGTCGACGGAAAGGATGTCTGTGGTCTCGCCTTTGCTCTTGGTCCCGCAGAGCCCAGCCCTGACCCCATGGGACATGAAGACCAGGAAGGTGCTGTCAGAGGTCCAGTGCTCTTTGCGATTCGCAAAATCCTTCATGACCGTAGCCATCCCCTACAAACCAGCACCAGGAAGGAACATCAGCCACCTGTGACCAGCTGTGTGGAGACCCAGCCTCCAGCTGCGGGCAGGAGCCAGTGCCATTGGGGACAGGGGTGTCCCTGTGGTGCCTGAGCCCCCCATCAGCAACGCACACAAGGAGCGTCTCTGCACCGCTCCCGGGGCCGGTGGCAGCTGCTTTGTGCAGTCCTTTACCTGGGAAGTTAAGTTGCGATGGACGTCCACCACATAGCCCAGCCCTTCCAGCAGCTTCATCATCCCCTCCACATCCACTTCAGCCCCGTGCCGCCAGCTCAAGTGCTCAAACTCAATGTTGCAGATGAGCAGAGCTCTACGGGTTCGCGTCTCCCGCGGTAGATGGATGGGATAGATCTGTGAGGACAAAGGGGGGCAGCGCTCAGCGGTGGGTGGGTGCAGGGGGCTTTTCTTGGGAGGCAGCTAATAGCAGAGAAGGCCCATGGGTGCAGCAACCACATCTCTCTGTCCCTGGGACATCTCCCCACATCTCCTGCCCTGCTCCTGGGTCAGCGAAGACCCTGGCTCCCCTCAGCAAGCCCCTGCCCACTCCAGCAGGGCAGCCAGGCCATGCTCCAGCCCTCCTCTCATCTCCTCTACCCACAGCACCTGGTCTCCCTCTGTGTCCCTGATGCGCTGGTACTCGCTCAGAGAGCACTGCTGGATCCACTGCTGGCCCTGGATGCTGATGGGGGGCCCAGTGGGGGCCTCGGTGTCGGGGGAGGCCAGCTGCACACCAGGGGACCCTGCAAGCAGAAAGCCCCACAGTTGCACTGGGAAGCGCCTGCAGCCAGAGGGGACTGTTGCAGGGCACGGACAGACAAGCGGAGCTGGGCTCTGCCCCTTGGGGGTCCCTGTTCAGCCCTGCGGGGGACAGCCACCCCTGAGAGTCCTGTCGTCGCTGCATGGCAAGGGGGATTCAGTGCCACAGAGCAGTGACACCGGGGACACCCAACTGCCTCTTGCCTTCAGGCCTCAGACACTCACCAGGGCCAGGCCCCACTCCAGCACCCCACCAGAGGTGCCGGGAGCCCCAGCATGGCCGGGGGCAGACCACGGCCCTGCATCTCTCACCCGGTTCAGCGGTCAGACCCAGCTGCTCAGCCAAGGTGCCATCACGCTTCCTGAGGCTGTTGATGAAGATCTGGCTGGCCCTGGGGCCCTTCAGGCGCACGCTGTCGATGAGGCAGCGGGCCTTGTCGGCACGCACCATGTATCTATCTTGCACCTCGTCCACCTCCTCGAGGTTCAGCACCCCTTGGGCCAGCAGCTCGTCCAGCAGCCCAGAGATCACCGGCTTGCTCACACGCTCCACAAAGGCTGTCCGCACATTCAGGAGCAGCTTGTCTGCAGGGTGGCCTCGTCAGTGCCCGGAGCCCCCACGCCATGGCTCCTGTTGCCACACCACCCACTCCAGGTGCTTCCTCTTCCCCATCGCCTCCCCTGGGTGCTGATCCCTTCCCCATCACCCCTCTAACTGCTCCCCCTTCCCCATAGCCTCCCCTGGGTGCTGCCCCCTTCCCTATTGCCCCCCCC